AAAAAAAAAAAAAAAAAAAAAAAAAAAAAAAAAAAAAAAAAAAAAAAAGAACAGTGGAAGATGAAGAGAAAACAAAGATTCAGGCGAAGGCCTCCTGAATCAATCCAACTAAAATTCTCTTCTCCAGATCTTCCACAACTTCATCTGCTTCCTTCATCGATTCTCGGATCGGCCATCGCCAGCTTAAACCAAAAACTCCATTTGTTGCTTGATTAATTTTTCTGTAATCTCTCAAAGATTCCATGCCGGCATAGGCATTCGGCGGCGATTTCTCCGGTGAGTTCCATACTCTCGAATTTCCTGTGTTCATGTAAGCAAACAACCGATTAATCTTCTTGTAATCGTTTGGTCAGATGAAGTGAAACTAATCGAAGTAAGTTTATGGTTGCAAAATCGATGCAGAATGTTTGTTACCATTCGCATTCAGATGGAGGAGTTCATTTGTGTGACTGGAAGGCGGCAGATTGATCGAAATCGGAACTTTCGAGATAGTTACAGGTTTGATAACTGACAATTCATGTTCTATGTACTTAAAGCTTTCTGGTGTGCGGCACGAGTGACTGAGAGAACTCTGGCTTTTGCTGCAGTAGTCTGTAATTTGGGGAAAATAACTCATGAACATCTTGATCTTAACAACTAAAGCATGCTTAAAGCAAACTTTTGTGTCAGACACTGAGATTAGGCAGAAGAACAGCTGCAAATTAAAAATATCTAGATAGAACTTGAGCAACTTTATCCCTCTTGTTTTAGAATTTAAGCCTCAATTGTGTGATGCTGTCTGGAAACATCATTATTTGATTTTTCACTCCTCTTCATCAATAAAAACTTCATTCCTTCTATTATTAACTAAAATAATAAACCAATTGCTACTTTTGACATTTATCTGTTACTGTAATTGTTGATACTCTTGGATCAAATTGAAACCAAAATTTTTCATATCGAAAATGCTTTACATTCGTTTAAATTAAAACATTCTGAAATTTTAATGCAGATCTTATTCTGAGATTATGAGCATAGCAAACAATCAGTGTTCTACTCTATCTGTTCTAGTTATATTAGTTAGGAGATTTACCACATGTTTGATGTCTGGAGCTTCCAGCTTTTTCCTTCATATTTAATGAAGAGACTGGAGAATATGTTCGATCGGGCTTCTTAACGTTGCTTTTGCCTCCAAATTTCATGGCCTGCAGAAAGATTTTGTTTTAGTTTTAATTCTTTTCACAGGCCAAAATTATCTTCCCCATCTCCAATCAAATTTTCAGAGCTTGTAACTAATTAATTTCAGCATTCATGCCTCAGTATGTTCTTCACAAACAATGACTGGAAATAAAATGGCATGTTAATGCATATGGGAATATTAGAAAGTTGGGAAGTATTTTTGGACTTACCCCTGGTTTCTCTATTGAAACCTCATTGATGACCTTTTCTGCAATTGCTTGATTCGTGCTCAATGGGCTGCGCTCGGGGGCAGTGTCCGATGTAGGTGTTGAGTCCTGAGGGATAGGTTCCCCTACGACATTTGGTTTCCATTGATGTTTGCTAAGGGATCCCTGCCTTTGTTCTTGAAATTTTGGCACAATCTTAGCTTGTGAAAGTGGATTTTTTCTCTCTACAATCTCTTTCCGTGATTCTAGAATTTTCGTATCCCTTTCTTCTTTCCTCTGGAGATTTTGATTGAATGGAATATATGGAATCCTTTTTTTGGGTTTGGTATCATCCACACACTCTTTTGGTTGCCAATTATCTTCTTTTGTGTTTTCAGCTTCTTTTCTGTGATAAATCCTTGAGATTGCAGTCTCTTCTGCCTGTATTGACCCAAGCACTTTTTTGGAACGTAAAGCTTCCACTTTATTGTCATTCTTTTGCTGATGATACTTTTCTTTCATCTTCAGTTTCATGAACTTTTTCTTGTTCAATGCTGCATCTTCCTCGAATACATGTGCTTGGTGTTCCTCCGATTCAACCTGTGCAACACGCATAGGTTGTAGAAGTACAATTGATGGAGCAGTATGGGTTAACTCTTCTCCTGAATGGGTGAAGCTTGAATTATTGAAATGGTCACTCGCTTCCTTTGTAAGATGCTTAAGAATACCTTTGAATTGCTGGGTGTCAAGATTTGACTTCAGTTTCTTTGTCTCAGCCATCTCCATGCTAAACTTAGGCCTCTGGCGATCTGAAATTTTCTCATCAAGAAACTGTTTGTGTAGATTTTCATGCATTTGCTTTGATTGAGGTTCTAGACCCATTAGCTTTGCAATCAAATTTTTGGTATTAACGTTCTTTGCTGGGTTTGGAGCAGTGTGGTACACCATTGAAGATTGGCTAGAGCTTGTGGATGCAAGATCTGAAGATGAGTTTTCCATACTACTTTCAGGAAAACTGCTTCTTTCAGCCTTGTTTGTTGTATTTGGAAAGACGAGTTGTCTTGCAAGGCGATCTCGGATCATCTTCTTCAGTTCCTCAGCTCCATCTCCATAAGAACAATCAGCCGAAAGCCGGGGTTTTTGAAATTCATTTCGGCCAATTGTTCTTCTTTCTATCCGTTCATTTTTCTTCTCCTGAGTCATATACCTTGAAGCTTCCTGCAGTTTACCTAGAATAACCAAGGACTGCTGCAAATCAAGAGCTCCTAAAAATAAATCTCTTGCAATTTGGTCAGACTGTCCATCACATTTCATCTCGTTAGACCACCGATCAATTGTCCGATTCAGCTTCTGAGTTCCTCTCGACACTTTCATGAGTTGAGATGAGGATGAACTACTGAACTCATCTCCTACTTCTTTGATGGTTGTTTGCTGTCTTCGTAACTTACAGTCCGAAAATTCGTAAAAATTCTTCCTAGCTGTCCGACTTTTGATCGGCTTCTCCATTTTTGATGAAGCAACTCTCCTTCTCCTGACAGTGTTCTTATCAACTATGCCTTTTGGATCATTACAAGTTAGAAACGAGTTGTAAATTCTTGATCTTAGCTTGTCCTGAGGCATATCTTATTGATTGAGATCGCATGTACATTGCAAAGCGGACTCAGATGCTAACATTACTGATATTGCACGAACCATTTCCAAGAACTCCTACACATAACTCTCGCATGGTTTTGGATATCATAATAGTAATTTCAGGCTCTGTGAGAAAGTTTTAACCTGTTTGCCTCTGTACATAAGAAAAATCCAGGAAAATGAAGCAGAAGTGTTGAACCAAAATAAAGAAGAAAAGAAGCTGAAAAGCGGTAACCTTAAGGATATGGAGTGGCGGCAAAGCTCTTGATCGATCAATGCGAGTGAACTGTGCTTAGACGCTTCGTAGAACCGCACCAATAGAGAGGAGCTGATGGATGTGTAGACTCAATTGAAGGCATTAGAAAGAAGAGGAAAAGGCAATAAACAAAGACTGACCAACATCACAAAGAAGTTTCAGAGCGTCGAACCGGAAGAAGCGAATCGAACCCGAGCAGAACAGTTGCTGGCTTTGACATATGGAGAAAGAAAGAACAGTAAGTTCTGGTGCTTTTTTCTCTTAGTTTTCTGAGGATTCTTAGAGAAACATGAAAGTGCCATTAATGGCTGCTCTTGATTTGGGTCGTAGCCATTTCAAGAGTACTGTTGAAGCAAGCCCTGTAACGAGTAAAAGCATGAAAAAGCTGAAGCTTCACACAAGGGAAACTGCCTTCAACTAGGTTAGTTGAATTTATTCATTACATTACTGTTTCTTACATATCTGCCTTGGAATGTTTGGGCCATTTGTAGCCAACAGCTACTTTAGGGATCTCCAAATAGAAAACCAATAATTTCATGGTTTGCTCTCATTCCAGCAATGTGTAATAAGAGAAGAAACTTTTTAATTCTCTCCCAATTAATGATTCATGTGCATATTGAATTAAAGAGAATCATTCCTTCTTTAATCTTTGTTCTTAGAGTTAGGTTTTCATAGGGTTTATTAGAAAGCTAGTTTGAAATCTTAAGCATGAAGAAAAATATTACGATTAGTTCTAATTTACTATGGATATCTCTGTAAAATTGAGAGGAACGGTAAAGATAATTACCCGTTTCAATTATAAATTTAGTTCATGAACTTTCACGGATCTGCTAAACAAAACACGATATAGAGAGTTTCGGGTTCTATTAGACAATTTGAAAATTCAAGGACCAAATAGACACAAATATCTAAATTTGGGGACAAACTTATAATTAGATCCGACTATGAATTTATTTAAATGCCATATAGGTCAATTCCACACTATTCCCAAATTTAAAATTTGGTAATGTTTTCGTGGTTGATGAATGATAGTGAAGGAGAGTAATTTCTTTTATAGATAATTTACCATCCATAATGAATTAATTAATTGAATGAGGTTCATGCTTAAATGCATTCACATGATTCTTGCAAGCTAAGCATAGTATTTTGTTCTCTCTTTATTTTACTTTTGCTGCCTCCCATAAATGCATACCGCTTCTTTCTTTTTTTTTTTCTTTTTTTTTCCTCAGTTTTTTCAAATAAAATTTGAAATGAATCAAATTTAATGATCGTACTTCTTTTTACGATTTAAAAATTTGAAATTAAATATATTCATATTTTAAATTCAAGTTGGAGATCTCATTTTGTCCGTTTTAGTATTTACTTGGCATATTCATTTGATCTGTCTAAAGTTGGATGTGGTAGAAGTTACAGGTTCAAGTTTTAATAAAGTCAGTTCAAATGACCAATAAGTTTACGATAATTGATATGTATTTTTTTTATTTAAGTTTCTCGAGATCTAGAGAGTTGCCCTTATCAATTAGATTGCATAATCAATGACGGGAACCAGTAAATAGTTGTTACTTTTAATTAATATTTTAAAATTAGCTATTTATCTTATTGGTAGAAAAAATTACTATGTGAAATTCTTGGGCCACACTAGGGGTCCCAATTTGGCCCATTCCTTTCCTATTTGGGCCAATTTGGGCCTTTTGGTCCATTTTTCGTCCTGGGCTTCAATTAACAAGCTACTTGGGCCATATTTTTGTTAGTCCATCTTTCACTTCGGGCTTGAGTCCAGAAACTTGGGCTAAAAAGACCACCTTGTCCAAAGGATCAAATTTGTGAAGGTTGAAGGGCACCTTTGGAATTTCGCCATGATATTAATATTCGATTTTTATTTTATTCAATCGTTCCATTTCAGTAATTATTGAAAACATGGGGGTAGAGTTCAATAAATTATTTACGTTATGTTCCTAACTTTTGGGATTTGTTTATAATTTTGATTTTTTGACATTTCAAAAATGTTTGATAAAGTTCTTGAACTTTGTATCGAATAAACCCATTTATATTTTGATATTTTAGAAATAATTAATTTATTAAATATAAATTTAAAATTTTAACTAGTTTATAGGTCGTATAATTAAAAGTTTATAAATTTATTGACACATTTAGAGAGATATAAACTTTAGACTTATAATTTAACTTCCCAATCCCCGGTTAACTTTAGTTATTCTCAAAACTACTCCTAACAAAATAAACTAAATGAAAACAATATTAAAAAAAAAAAAAAAAAAAAAAAAAAAAAC